GGTCCCCGTGCCGCGGCAGGGAATGGACATGAAAGTCGAATTATTAAAGGGTTTTAATTACCTATAGAAAAACCGTTCTTTGCCTCCCCGACCTAACTTTTTTCTTTACTATTTACTGGTATATAGGTGGCGTATGCACCTCTATTTTTACAATATCGCGATAGGGAATATAGGATTTTAGCATCATTGTAAATTCATGTACATAACACAACCTCTGTGGATGAAAAACCGGTGGAAACCCCCACAAAGTGTAAAAGTAAAGGGGTCAAGTTTTTGTTCCCAAGAGATTATTCCTTTTCTGTCCCATGTCCACGGGGTGGTTTCAGCTTTTTATCTTACTCTCACCACCACTTCAAAGCACCACAGGGGCTATTGAAACAAACAGGCTCGTGTGGGGGAACTCCTTACGCGGTCACGTCCAGTGGTGAGCAGAGTGCAGCCAGTTTTGGTCCTTCTGTACTTCAGTGAGGTAGATCATGGTGCCAGTCACGCTGCGCCACTAGTTTGGCAAGGAGCCACCTCCTTATCTTGGCCAGTTTAGTTGACTTATGTCCGCTAGTCTTGAGTCATGAACAGCTACCCGTCCAGACAAACTTTAGCGGGATCCACGCAGCCGTTGTCTAATTCGCAGGCTGAGACAGGAGGTCCTACTCGTCCTAGTTACGGACGGTAACGTAAGCTTTCTTTCGAGCGCTCGCGAACGAGTCGGACGCAGAGAGGCTGGCGATGACCAGCGCATGTCGTACATTTGCGCAGTGGGCGAAGGAGGAGTGAGAGGGACTCGATGAGGAAGATGACGGCAGGGGGGCGAGTATGGCGAAAGTTTGTTGTTCTGGAGGTCGAGGGTGGAGAGAGAGGAAGGAAGGAGAGGGTGGGATGGGGAGGGGTGTGAGGGAGTTGCACGAGAGAGGGAAGGATGGTGGTGAGTTGTTTGGTCTTACCAACTGATGAGGGCCCGGAAGGGAGTAGGGGGGAAGCTGTGGTGTCCTGGTCACACGCGGTGAGGAAGGAAAACCAGGGTGGGCATGCCCAGAAATGGGCGATTGGGACGGGGAGAGTGGTGTGTGGAGGGCGGGGGTGTGGGGAGGAAGAGGGGAAGGGACATAAAGTGGTACTATACCGAACAGTTGTTGTTTAGGGAGAAAATTTAATGTTTCCTGTTTTCTTGAATTACACTCTATGGGAATCTTTGCTATTACACAGATCTTTATCGCTCTTCACTCATTCTCCCCCCAGTTCGCAACGGCTGGTTGTGCTTCTTGTGCTCCTATATATACTTGCAGTTCTAATCGCAGAGCTCAACGAGATGACAACCCTTTTCAGATCCATAGCTCCGTCAGCTGAGGACTTTGGACTACACTCCCACAGCATTCCTGCAGCTATACAATAATCACACGCATAATAAGGACCATCCACTCCTAATAAGACGTAATACTGCGAGACTCATGATAATAGTGATAGCAGACGAATCAACACATTGGTGGAGCAGTAGTAATCGGTCTCGCAATTAACGGCATGGGTGAATGCTTCAAGAGTATGGTTGTCATTCTATCGCTAAATTTTGAAAAATGAAAACGAAAAATATTTGGTGGTATGTCGCGACAGAGGTAACGGATACTAGATAGTATATATCCATGCAGAGGACATAGAAAAGCTAGTAGACATAAACACAAACACAATGCCACTATAGTTACTCTATTCTGTACTATAGTTACTACTGCAAAAAATTCCGTAGGCGATTGAAGAGTAGACATAACTATAGACCAGTGCTCATTCAGTCTACAGGCATGAGATTAGGGACTGCGAGACTTCACGCGAATCAATAATCTGAGTAATCCAGTGATCATCACGTCTACCAGGGCATGAGATCTGAGCGGCGAGGACCACGGAATATTATTTAAGTCTTGAGGTAATCCGTGATCATCAGTCTACAGAGCTGAGATAGAGCGAGGCCTTCACGGATAAGTAATCTGAGGTAATCCAGTGTTGATCATCCGTCTACACAGGCATGAGCTCGGGGGCGAGACTCACGGAAGTTAATTAATCTGAGTAATCAGTGAAGAAAGCTGTCCGTGTCGGCGCTTACAGTTACGAGAGACAAGTGATCATGTAATCTTGTGGTCAAGTAGCAATGGAGCCGTGGTATACGTGGATCACAAGTAGCAACCACAACCATGTCTGGACAGAGGGCACAGGCAAAGGGTCCCCAGGATCACACAGTACATACACAGGCAGCTCGCATTACAAACTGCCCGAGGCACACAATCAAACACTTATTATATTACCAGGTTCAACATGCATTCTGAGAAAATTGGGTCACGCCTTTGTTTAATTTCCAAGACGTGCTTGTCCGGAAACATAATGATCTAAGCCCACCACCAATTTCAGTGGAAATGCTCTATTTTTCAAAGTCACAAACGTCTCCCATTAGTTAGAACAGCGATTCCTTGAATCTATGCACTTAGAACCCGAGGGTGGGTTACCATGGCGGGAGTGTAGGAATTAAGAGTGCAAGCGATGTAGAGGATGGAAGGTGAAGGGAGCCCAGGGTCCTGAAACGCGCTTAGATTCAAACGAACGAGATGCCTAACGTATTCAGGAAATACTTCCAATGACGCATGCTTTTATGCACGTTCAGGTTACAAGGGGAGGGAATTTAGTCAAACACGATGTGAGTTACTGACAAAGATTGGTAACACGTCAAGCGTGGAGTGCGTACTAAAAACACAGTCGAGAGAGCGGAGAGGGAGGAGAGAGAGGAAGAGAGAGAGAGAGGAAGAGATGGGAGGAGAGAGGACTTAGATCTGGTACACTCTCCACCTTGTCTCAATTTGCCAGCCCTCTGGCGCTGAACGTCAGCTATTTCCCTCTGAAAGTGTCCTCCAGAAAATCACTGAGAAAGTCCATTGACGGTGATGGGGGGAGAGGGAGAAGAAAGGGGGGGGTGGGGGGGGCGAGGGGGGGCGGGGGGGGGGGGGGGGGGGGTTTATGAGAAAACATAGCACCCCAATTGGTAGGATAGGTTTACCAGGAAGTCAAAGTAAGAGTGGTTGTTATATACCCAGCAAAAACTCTCTCTCTCTCTTGTTCTTTATTTTCACAAAGTCCTTCGTGCTACTATACAATGCCCGTGTCACACAAAACAAATTGTTGACTTCTCGGCCATTTAAAGAAAACCACAAGTCCCCCCGGCATATAATCTGGCAGTCCTACGGCCAATGGCTTTGAAAGCTCTCCTGAATTTACACAGCATTAGTATTAGAGGGGGCTTAAAGCAACTGGCATAATAACAAAGGGGATATACATGAGAGGGTGGACTAATGGGCTAAGGTTATGAGAGATGGGGGGACTGTAACAAGGGCAAATGTAAAACTCTCTATTACAGCTGTACAGCGGAGAGCTCCACGTTGTCTTGGTTGAAAGCACTTCGGATTTGTTGGTGGCAAAAAGGTCACCTTCTTCACACACGAATTAAGCGGCAAAAACACCAAGGCTCCACAATGTTCCTCCGCCACCGCACCCACCCGCAACACGGCACACGTTATTCAATAGTGAAAATCAAGATACTGGTTGAAATAGGGGAACAAAAAAGCAAGGGGAGCGAAAAAGGCAGGGAACAAAGGAGGATAGAGAGGACGAGCGCCCCGCTGACCCGCGCCACGAGGAGCGGGAGACCAAGGTCGGGCTAGAGCGGCAAAAGAGAGCGAGAGGGTTTGTTACTGTAGTAGTAGTAAGTAGTAGCAAAGTTACAAGTGCTTCCCACCTATACAAACCACAAGTACCTTTCGATTTTCCCGTAACTTCCGCCGCACTCATGTCGGGAGATATACTAGCATCGACAGATCTTTAGCTATTAATGTCTACCCACACCCAGTTCTCTCTCCCGATTTACGTACGTAAGTATCAGTCGTCGTCGTCTCGAGAAGCTGCTGTTGTTAAGCGACAGGAGCCAGGGAAGTGGAGGGAGGAGCCCTCTCGTTGTCGCAAGCAGCTCTCTCATGGCCTTCTCCCTGGCCCAATCTCTCTCCTTCTTCCCTCTGGCCTCCGCCATTTCCCCGTCTCCGGCTTTGTTCGTGGTGTCCAGCGAGTCTGTCGCCACGCAGGGATCCATCGCTCGAAGAGCCAGCTAGTGGCCAGGTTACGTACGTGGTGGCGCGGCACCTATCAAGTCAGTCGACGTCTGGTCTAGTCTGGGGGTGTGGGTGGGTGGAGTAATCAAATGTCTACCCGCCCATTACTCTTTGGGTCTACTGCGCATGCGTATCCGCGAGCGTTGCCGCGCAGGTTAGGTGCTGCAAAGCCACTGAAGTGCAGCAGACGCATATATATATATATACGCAGGTCCACTTTTTGATTTCAAACTGCAAGAGGAGACCTATTCCAAGCCCCTCGCCTAGAATATGGCGCCGTGGGCACTGAGCCAAGAGACACACTTTGGCCCCTGTCTAACGCGGCAGTAGGACCTTTCGCACTTCGGTACACGCATATAGCAGTTCCTGTGTTGCGGTCTATGCCCTTCCTCTCGCATTCGCGCACTCGACGGGCCAAGGGCTCACTTACGAAGAGAGCGAGGTGTGGTTTCTCCGAACACGCTGCCGCGCTGCTAATAAATAGCGACCTCCGGGAAACAAGGTGTGCGAGCAGTCGCGGAATTCCGTACGAGCAGCTGTGCAGTTTTAAAATTTGATCATCTGATCTACCCTCTGGTGTGAGGTTGCTGCAGGTAGTATGATGCAATGGAGAGATACCTGTTAGTGAGTGCATTTCTCTGGTGTCTGGCGGAGGTCCAGTCTCAGACATCGTATCCCTACGTGAGCTTCCTTGGAGAGACTCTACCCAACCATGCCTATGTGGACCTCAGTCTAGTGGGAATCAACCAAGACGGCAGTGACAGTGTTCAGTGTCACACTAATGTGGAGACATGCTGCAGAGAGCTCGGAGGGATCTCATCGTGGAGACTGGTTCTCTCCAACAAGCACAAGCTTCCCTTTCCCTGCCCTAAGGACTTTGTGTTTGAAGATCGAGAGGCACAAAGAGTGGATTTACGACAAAGAAACGCCAGCTCTCCGACTGGAATCTTTCGCTGTACTATTGATGTCAGAGTTGAGGGAGAAGAAGATCCAGTGAAAAAATCTGTTTATGTGGGACTCTACAGTAATGGCAGTGGTAAGTATGATCATGATATGTTAGCATGGATGTATCGATTAGCGACTGGTTATGTCACACAGGAAATGTAACAATCGTGGGAGACATTTCACTGGCTGTGATCTCTGATCTCAATGGACCAAGTCCTCAGTTCTCCCTCACCTGCAACTCCACTGGTGGACCTGTTACCACTGTCACTTGGACAAGAGACGACGTCAGCTTTACGAGAGGAACTGAAACTGTGTTGATCGACCCAGTAACGGCTCAGTACACCCACACCCTGACAGTCTCTGGGATACCTGAAGGACTCTACACGTGCACCGTCTCCAACAGCAAACCATCACAGGATTCGGCACAATTTAGCATAGAAGGTAAATAAGAATAGGTGATAATTAATAAAAAATAGGTGATAGATTTCACTTATCGCATTTTTTCTTATTCAGGCTTGTCAGGTGTTCCTAAGGAATTTGAGGCGGAGGCAGGCCAGAGACAAGTTGTCTTTACCTGGTCTCCACCACCTGCCACCCAGTACAGTGGGCGCATCACCAACTACACCCTCTCCTGCTCCTCCTCCCCCTCCTCTCTCCCCCAGTCCCCCTCCTCCCAGTCTGGGAGCCTCACTGTCACTGGCTTCTCTCCCAACACTCCCTACTCATGTTCTCTGACTGCCAACAACAATCGAGGGACTGGGTCACCAGCAATGACGTCATTCACCACACTAGAAGACTGTAAGGGAAGGAGACCAACTCATACCCAGTGTCTAAAACTCCTTTCTCTCTCAGATGTATTATTTCAGCTCCATTTCACTGGGATTCCCAGCAACTGCAAAGGTTTTGTGGTGAGCTACTTATGCCTACACTTTTCAAAGTTGCAAGCATGTTCTGTTTTGCTTTAGGAAACTAATGGACCCGAGAAGTTGGACAACATTACCAGCGCAGTGCTAAATGTATTGAGTGGATCTTGTGCCAACTGTGCAATAGACGAGGAGTACTTTGCCTGCGACTCAGAGTCCCCCACGTATGTGACATATCGAGCCAGACTGGAGGGAACCTCAGAGACAGACAGTGGCTCCCTCATACCTCTGATAGAGGCCTGGGCCAGAACTGGACCCAACATCACTGCTGGTGGACTACTGACTGTCAACTCACAATGTCCAGTCTCCATCTCATCTCTCACCAACCCTGAAGAAGGACTGTGTGAATCTCCTCCCACCACAGCCCCTGACGAGCAAATCCTCTCCATACAGAATATCGCCATAATTGCAGGGGTCGGGGGAGGAATCCTCCTCATTTTTGTCGTCTTTCTTGTGATTGGATTGAGACTCTGTTGCAAGTACTCCTGTAGGCCAAAACCCTCTGAAGAGTGAGTTATCTAGAGATTGAGATCACCTATGAATTAGTATCAAGTATCTAGCTATAATCTAACCTCTCAAATTTTCAGGAAAGCACTGGAGGGACTATCAGGAGTGTATATCATCCACGACAAGGAAAAGGACAAGTTTGAAGAAGCGGAGGAGGAGGAGGATTTTGAGAAGGAGAAGGTGGACGTGGATGAGTAACGCCCGCCTCCAGCAAAGCTCGAGCTGCAGGAGGTGAACGAGGGAGGGGACACGCAGGACACAGACGACAAAGAGTCAGTGAATGAAGAGGGCTGCTGAGGGAGCCAACGGATGCTCAATCAACACATTGACTTCACTTGGCCACGTGTCTGCAAACAGCACTCACACAAACAATAGTTGAACTCGGCTCTATACATAGATCACAAGCTATATATAGACATGTTTTCCTCCATTTTTATAGTGATCTCAGTCTGTATTCAACAGCATTTTTACACTCAAGTCTGCATATCTGATTGTACCACCTTTGCGCATGCGTAGTTTGACTAGGATAATTATACGTATGTAGGTATATACGTCTTCAGGAATCAGCATATCCAAAGACGTCCCACTCAAACCACATCATTGCAAGCATGTTCAGGAGAAAGACGCAAAAGCTTCCGTCGCCCAGTTTTCCCAGGCAGTTAGCCAAGAATGATCTTGACTTCTTCCATGGACCGCACGCAGATGCTACGGTATACACGCCCACCGAATTTATCCGAGCCAAATTCTGTCTGTTGCGGGTTTGAGGGCTGCTCTCTGCGCCAGCCAAATCGATACAGCTTCGGTCTATAAATAGCGCCTCAGGCAAAGCTACATAAAGACTATCCGCATTGTGCGTCGCATCTGGTGCAGTGACGGGGGAAAGTCTGCAAAGATACGTCAGTTATTTTAGCGGAACAACTTCCATTCGTGAAGGCGCTGCAATGAGAGGGTATCTTTCTGTGAGTATAATGCTCCTCTGGTGTCTGGTGGAGGTCCAGTCTCAGACATCGTATCCCTACGTGAGCTTCCTTGGAGAGACTCTACCCAACCATGCCTATGTGGACCTCAGTCTAGTGGGAATCAACCAAGACGGCAGTGACAGTGTTCAGTGTCACACTAATGTGGAGACATGCTGCAGAAGAACCGAGGGATCTCATCGTGGAGACTGGTTCTCTCCAACAAGCACAAAGCTTCCCTTTCCTATGCTGAAGGACTTTGTGTTTGAAGATCGAGAGGCACAAAGAGTGGATTTACGACAAAGAAACGCCAGCTCTCCGACTGGAATCTTTCGCTGTACTATTGATGTCAGAGTTGAGGGAGAAGAAGATCCAGTAAAGCGATCAGCTTATGTGGGACTTTATCTGGGAGATGGTGGTGAGTGTGTGTAAGATCATTAGCAATCAAGCGAACATGGATCTATTATTGCAGGAAATGTCAGAATATCTGGTGGAGTGACAATGACCGTGATCTCTGATCTCAATGGACCAAGTCCTCAGTTCTCCCTCACCTGCAACTCCACTGGTGGACCTGCTACCACTGTCATTTGGACCAGAGACGACGTCAGCTTTACGAGAGGAACTGAAATTGTGTTGATCGACCCGGTAACGGCTCAGTACACCCACACCCTGACGGTCTCTGGGATACCTGAAGGACTCTACACGTGCACCGTCTCCAACAACAAACCATCACAGGATTCAGCAGAGCTCAATACACAAGGTTAGTAGTCAGCTATAACAGAATTAAATTATCGTTTCCTGTATTAGCCTCCTTTGAAGAGTTGGTATAATCGACTCTTCGGCCACCTCTCTCACTTTTTCCTGGACTCTGACCCCCGTCGCCTCACTACTGATCACTGGATACAACATCACCTGTACCCCACTGATGGAGGGGATTCCCCTTCCAGAGCCTCTCGTTGGAGAGCAGAGAGACACCTCTGCCACTGTGACTGGACTCCACCCTGGCATCAACTACACATGTGTTGCTGTCACCTTTACTCCTTGGCAGATCTCACCACCACAAAACATCACCTACAGCACTTCTGAGATTGGTAGAAGACAACATTTATACTTCCTCAGTAAAATTGTTCCCTTCTTTTTCAGTTCCCACAGGTTCTCCAGAGGCATTTGAGGCAGTTGTGGGCCAGAGACAAGTTGTCTTTACCTGGTCTCCCCCACCTGTGACCCAGCGTAATGGAGTAATCACCAGCTACACCCTCTCCTGCTCCCCCTCCCCCTCCTCCCTCCCCCAGTCCCCCTCCTCTCAGTCTGGGAGCCTCACTGCCACTGGCTTCTCTCCCAACACTCTCCACTCATGTTCTCTGACTGCCACAAACAGCCAGGGATCCGGACCACCTTCAATAAGGATTTTCATCACACTGGAAGATTGTAAGAATCCAATAATGTGCTACAATTTACGTTAAAACTAAATTTCTGGGTATAGTTTCCCATTTTCAGTTTCATCTCGGTGGAGTCACATCTTGCCCAGAGTTTACAGTAAGAGAATGACTACTGTGTATGAAAACCAAATTATTGCTAGTTTTTCTGCAGTCGTCTTCAACTGATGAAAAACTAAGCGACATTACCGATGCCATGATGGATGCACTGACTACTTCCTGCTCTAATTGTGCAATCACCAGCAGTAGGATTGATCAACAGAGCTTCACCTGCGACTCAGAGTCCCCCACGTATGTGACATATCGAGCCAGACTGGAGGGAACCTCAGAGACAGACAGTGGCTCCCTCATACCTCTGATAGAGGCCTGGGCCAGAACTGGACCCAACATCACTGCTGGTGGACTACTGACTGTCAACCCACAATGTCCAGTCTCCATCTCTGACAATAATGAAGGACAATGCCAATCTCCCACCAGCGACTCAAACAAGTCGTTCTTCACCCTCCAAAACATTATCATAATTGCAGGGTGTGGTACATTCTATTGCATGACCGGTCCCTAACAATATTCATTTTATGACGTCACATTTTACTTCCTCAATCATGTCACTATAAGTAGCATGCATTTCTAGTGTGTATATAGTGTACTTCCTACGACTGTACTATTGATCAGTTGTTACGAACCTACGATACAGGGGTTGGGGGAGGAGCTCTCCTTCTTATCGTCCTCGTCTGTATCACGATCCTCTGCTGCTGCTGTTGCTGCAGCCACAAGAAATCATTCACACCGTGAGTCCATTAGTAGAGTGCCATATTACAGCTTTGAGTTGATTAGCTTTGAACAGAAGTCCTCTCTAAGGACACCCTGGAAATAAGGCTCTAACAAAGTGTTGCTTGCTACTAAACCCTGAATGTCCTCACTAGTAGGCACTTTTTTGTCCCCATTGGTGTCCACATTAGAGGGGTTCCACTGACCTCCAATGCTATACATTGCAGGAAGAACATAGAAATTGTCTACTCTACTTGAGAGAAAAACACTGATGAAGAACCAGAAGAAGACTTTGAGAAGGTGATTATCGACGACAAACACCCCACACCACCACTAGCAGAGGATGAAAACCAAGAGTCTGAGCCAACGGACCCACAGAACACTGACGAACGAGAGGCAGTGAATGAGAACATCTGTTGAGGGCAGCCAATGTCCACCAACACTTGGCCGAACTCACACAAACATTCATTCGTACAGTGGAAACACTCATTCTTTCAAGTGCACACAAACTTACAGTGGACATTCAGCTACATAGCTACATTATAGTTCACGTTGATGCCAAGCTCTACTTTAGTCTAGTCTTCTCATGTATAGTAATGGTGTATGTGGTGCTGTACGTCAGCATGTTATGCTACGACTACTGAAGATGATCCTCAATGAAATCGTCCAAACTCCTACCTAAAAACAAATTATAGGTCATCATCATTGTATAAAAAGAGAGGCTCAAACTAACTGAGTGATGTGAGGAGGTTTTTGGGATGGTCTTCAGCGATGGCTCCAGTGAAGACATAGTCCCAGTCGACTCTGTCTCCCCTCCCCTCCATCTGCTCTGCCACGTAGGCCACAGTGCGACGCAGCTCGTGTCGGTATGCCTGAAGAATCACACACAGGAACCGAGTCTTGTTCGGAGCAAAACATACATTTGCCTACTCTACTCTGTAAGGACACCCCCCAAATGAGGGTATAGCAAAGACACGTTTTCTTTCCCCAAGAACAGTTTGTTGCGACCCCTGACTTAAGGGACACCTTGCTAATAAGGACACACTTTCTTCTGGAGGGGTTCAACTGTAACTGACTTCTATTCACAATTTCTTTTGAAACACCTGCCAAAGATATTACGTATACGTACAGCAGATTCTGGTCCAATGGATGATTCATCCAGACCCTTGGGAGAAAACTCTGAGACAAAGAGATAAAACAGAGTCCAACAGAACCTGCTGCTGTTGTTGTGTTGCGTATCTCACCAACTCCGTCTCCTTCGAGTCGGGTTAGCGGGAGTCCAACTGTGGGATCTCGGCAGAACTTGGGCCAGGGGGAACCTCGACACACGTGTGCACAGCCTCCGACGCCAAAACCCTCACCTTTCTTCGCCACTCCTCCTCGGTGACCACAGGGGATTTCCCCACCCCAGAAGGGGGTTTCCCCACCTCGAATCCAGCCAATCTCAGCCGAAACACGCCGTCACCGACATGGTCGAATATGAGTCTGCGTGATCGTGGCGGGAAAAGGAGCTTAGCGTCGTTTTCGAAATTCGACAGCAACTCTTCATAGATGGTGAAGATGCTGTGATAGAGTTTTTCTGCTCCTCCCACAGATTTTGAGAGGAGGGCGAATTTGAGACTGCCCAGCCAGTAGTGGTGGACTCTCCAGACCAGGCACTGGTTGCGGGGCTCCTTGCTGGCTTGCAGTGTCTCCCAGGACGTGTAGGAGGGAGTGAGGAGAACCTTCTTGAAGAAAGGGTCGTTGCGAAGACTGCACAGTGTTTCGTACTGCTCCTCAGTCAACCGTACACAGTGCTGGAGATGGTATAGTGGAGAGTAAGGGTAATGTGCCTCTGGTTGTGAACCTCTCACCTCCGGTAAGGCAGTTTGAGGTGAGGCTGAAACTATTTCAGGACTACCACTAGTGTTTTCCATTTCAATTTTCACTCGTTTTTTTTAACGACTGAAAAATCGAATATGGTATAGCTAGTTGCTAGAAGTTCAGTTTTCCATCTGCTTGTGAGCGGAAAAGGCCTTCTCTGCATAGTAGTCTCGTCTGTTTCTGAGCTGCTGTATCCTCCACCCGTGCAACTTCCAGCCGAACGCGACTCCGAGTAGGAAGGCGCCGCCAGCGAGAACAAGAATTTTCGCGTCCACGACGGCCATTTTGATGGGCGGTGTGCATGTGGAAGATCGAGGCGGGGAAATTCATAAAGTGGGCAGGGCTGGTTTGCTGTTCTTTGATCTTTGCCGCGCTCGCTGAGCGGAGCCATTGGACTGTTGCTATAGTCACGTCCTTCCTTGCGTCGTCGACATGAAGAAGAATGGCGAGAGACGAAAAGGTCAGTGCACATAGCTTGCTGCTAGCTACACGAATCACGATTCGCTCGCTCCCCTCCCTCGCGAAGAGTTTCCTCGGCAGTCCGACATCGTACAGAGACACATGCAGTCTCACCATAGACGGGTTACACAGGCCAAGAGTGAGTGTTCTATTGACCAATATTGACTCAGAGATCTCATGATTGTACTTTTGTGTGGTAAGGAAGAGTGGATGCTGCACCTCCCAAGGCGTTATGCTGCACAAAGAGTGAGTTGCCTGTCCTCAGTATAATATTATTGTACTGGCTTACTGCCTTATTGCACCAGTGAGGGACAGAGCAAAGAGAGAACAAGAAAGAAATTCCTCGAGTGATAAAAAGGGTGGCTTGCAACTAACTAAAAATGTGACGCAAATCGTCAATCGACCAGGAATGACCACAACAAAAGGGAAATCTCTCCACGTGGCAGGAGGAACCTTCACTGTCAGTAATGGTCCTCCAGCCACCATATTACCTCTACTGGACAGCTGTTCACTGGAGGTAGAGGGTGGAGTGGGGAGGTGGCACCTCTACCACACTCACACAGGAAGACTGACGGGTTTTCTGAGAGAGAGACAGAGACTCAGCAGCAGGAGGGGACAGGACAAGCGGCACCTCCAGCCACCCTGGAGGCCGCCCTACACCAGCCCTGCCCGTACTCCACTAGCTGGAGCCATAGAGACTAAACACCAGGGAAATCTAGCACACACAGGTCCTCTAGCAAAAGGTGCGATGCAAAGATCAAAACAGCAGGTGAAACGGGGCTGGATGTGCAGGAGACAGAAGTAAAGAGTGATGATTCCAATGTACAGAGTGATAATTCTGATGGTTTGAAGAGTGAGGACAAAACCGAGGAATCTTGCAGCTCGTATACATCATGGAGTGATGTTTCAGAAGACGATGAAGACGATGAGAGGAAGGTGTTAGTTGATGACGATGCACAACAAATCTCCAAGAAAAACCACAGTGCTAGGGAAATACTGCTTCAGGGAGAAGAAATGAAAGAGAAAACCTTTTCTTTGACTGAGAGGTAAATATCTCTTTAGCTGTCTAGGTGAAGGTGTGTTGCTTGCTAATCGCTTCACAGGAATACTAAAACCAAACAGGAATGCCAAGAAAGGTCAATCAAATTCACTCAAAATCTCATCAATTTTGTTGAGTGTTGGATATCCTAATCCCTAATCTAGGGAGTTGGAGAGTCGCTACCTGGAGTTTGTGTCAGAAGTGACTCGGGAGATTGTGAGGAGGCGTGTCCTCACGAGGCCAGCTCTGGACCTTCTCTGCCAGACCCATATCCACAGACACAGACATCTGCTGAGGGAGGTGAGTTTGGAGCCCGTGGCAAATTGGCAAATTGAAAGTGTAACTTTTTTCTCTGTACTGCAGGATGAAATGGTGAAGAGATTGGATGAACTAAAGAAGCAGATTGGAGTAACATAACACACTAGAAACTAGAAACCAAATTTCTGTTCTTCTGTAATTCAGTGCGCAAGCGCGGACTTGGAGTTGTGGAGGCGTGGCTAATAATGGCACCGAAGAAGCGAAACACTTCACCTCCGTCTCCTTCATCTCCCTCGTCCTCAGGCGCGGTAGGAACTGGACTAGGAAGTGGCAGTAAGCGGCCGACACGGCCGGGGTTCTCAGTGACGCAGCTAGCTGCCCTGTTCGTGTTTCTACTGGTCGCCAACTACCTGGGAGTCACCTGGTTCCAGGAATGGTGGTCTACTGGTGGCTCTCCGGCCGACTCGGCCACCCTGTACCGGGTCTCGGGAGCCGTGCAGATCCGACAGCTGCCGTCTCCAGACGCGGACTTTGCGGAGGAGTGCCGTGCAGGCGGGCTACCTATCGTACTGAGGAACTCTGTCGTGGAGAAGTGGCGGGCAAGACATCACTGGACGCCCAAGTACCTCCAGTCCCGTATACCCCGCATGAACGGAGTTTACCAGAATGACAACAGGTGGTTTGGACCGTACTATGACTCCAGCAAACCTCTAGCCCACCTCTCCACGAGGACCAACATCTATGCCACCAACGTTTCCATGAGCACCAAGAAATTCTTCAAGAAACTGAAGCAACCGTTGGAGGGGGAGTTCCTGTACTTTACGGGGGATATTTACACGCTGGGAGAGTGGGCCATGGAGGACATTCAGCCACTATCTGAGCTACTTCTGTTGAACCCCCGGCGATCGTCAGTCAACGTCTGGATGGGCCAACCTCACGTGATTGCTCACTGCCACTATGACGGTTACCACAACTTTTACACACAACTGCACGGTACAAAGAAATTCACGCTTTTCAGTCCAGACAACTGGCCTGGTCTCTACCCCTATCCGTTTCTCCACCCAAGCCACGCACAGGCTCAAGTCAACTTGAGCAACATTCGTGATATCGATAGCTTCCCACTGGCAGGTGAAGTGAAGGCACTTGAGGTAATACTGAGACCGGGAGACCTCTTGTACATGCCACCTCTGTGGTTTCACCTGGTGGAGTCTGTGGATACCAGTATATCAGTCAATGTGTGGACAGACTCGGTGCAGACACTGTTAGTGGAGGACATTTTTGCCGTCCCTCTCCCCACTGAGACTGTAGAGTGGAGCAGCGGTCATCAAAAGGCGATAGCAACCTCTGTCACGATCCACAGTCTACTGACCGAAGTCTGTCACAGGAGACACTGTCGACAGGTGAAAGACGATCATTTTCTCGACAACCAGGGCCTCAGACCTCTCGAGGGGGAACTGTATTTTGTCTACCAGCTGTGGACCACGCGGTATAGAACACTAATGGAAGAGGGCCCCCTTCCTAGTGGAGTTCACGACCCCACGTCCACTAGTGAAGGGATACTGTGTGAGAGAATGAGCACCAAGGAGTCGAAAACAGAGCGAGAGGCGGCAACTGTTTCTCTATTTAATGCCGACCTGAAAGAGTATGTGGAGCGTGTGGCTGGAGCCGTGGATAAGTTACCAGATGAGACCTGGGACATGTGGACTGGCAACTATGTTGAGTATCTCGCTGCCACTGCTGTACAAGTGGAGATGGTTGGAGCATTTCTAAGACACTATGGCTCTTGCATCTTGCATTAGCTTTCTTCAGCATGTTTTGAATTTTCACTTCTATTTACTTAGAAGGTCCTGGGAATTTATTTGACGGTCGGTCGTCCTCCTGAAGAAAGGTGAAACTAAAGGCGCATGCGCACAATAGAGAAGTGGGCGTGTCTCACGTGTGGCGTGCGTGTTTGCAATGGCTCTTCTTTCGGCTTTTCTTGAAGATGACGCAGACGAGCACGTTCTCCCGTGGATATGGATGGGGCTCTTGGCCTTGATGGCCGCCTTCTCGTGTCTCGGCTTCGTCGGGTGTGCCAAGGTACCGTACGGTCGCTACGGAGACCAGCGGAGCCTACTTTCAGCGCTCCGACTGACGACTTGCAAGGTGCCGGCTCGGCTGGCGTGGATGGTGCAAGAGATACCGGCCGTGGTGGTGCCGCTCTATCTAATTCTGAACGTCGGAGGACGCTACGTCGGGGCTTTCAATCCTAACATAGTCCTACTTGGGATGTTTCTCCTTCACTACGCAAATAGGTGAGGAGAGAGAAGAGAGAGGGGGGGAGGGGAAAGTGAAGAGTAATAGAAAAAATGGGGCAGGAGGGAGACCAGCCAGTTCTCAGTTCACAACGTGTGCTGGTGTGTTCTCGGTTGCAGGACATTTCTCTATGCTGCATTGACGCGAGGCAAGACAACTCCGCTCGCACCGGTAGCTTTTGGTTTTTGCGTCTGTGCCGTCAACGGCTACCTGCAGGGGCGCTACCTCACACACTACGCCCGCTACGACCTCTCCTGGTTCACTGACCCGCGGTTTATGGTGGGTCACCTGGTGTTTCTGCTGGGGATGGCCATCAACATTCACTCTGACAGCATCCTCAGATCTCTCAGAGCTCCTGGAGAAACCACCTACAGGATCCCCAGAGGTATAGTTGACTATTGACTGAGTTAAGAACCATTATTGCACCTTACAAATAAGCGCCATGCTCTTTTTGTACGTCCATGTCTCGTGTTGGTGTGTTGAAGGTGGAATGTTTGAGTATGTGTCATGTGCCAACTACATGGGGGAGACTCTGGAGTGGGTGGGCTACGCCATAGCCTGCTGGTCTGCGGTGGCTGCTCAGTTCTCTCTCTGGACCTTCCTCTTCCTTGGCTCACGAGCTCTCCAACACCACAGGTCAGTCTGTGCTTCCCAAGTAACCCTGCTCCACATGTCCTCATCCTTTAACGTTGTATTATATAACAGCTATGTTTGAGGGAAAACTTTTGTATCTGTATGTACCGTAAGAGAGCAACATCTCATGAGACTGACAATCACAGAGGCTGTTAGTATATATCTACATAGCATTATTTTACTTGCTGATTGCTGACTGCTGCTCTGCAAAAAAACGGAAGACTTTTGCAGGCAACTATATACTCTTGTGCAAGATTGGGAAAGATTTTCCACTACAGAAAGATTTCCCACTATATACAATATGTATTGCGGTCCTGTACTAGTGCATTTCCACAATCATGGTCCTGCGGTTGGGTGCCATTTTCCCACCAAATCTCTATGCACACTTTTGCAGGTTCTACCAGGAGAAGTTTGAAGACTACCCAAAATCAAGAAAAGCCTTCATCCCGTTCTTACTATAGCACTTATAGCGAAACAAGAACATTTTGGGTGTGGAAAATGCAGTGTATTGTTAAACGTTTGCACATCACTTTGAAATTCAAAATAGGTAATAGCAATGTATGTACAAATTATGCATTCAGGTGAAAGACTGTGTTAGTCACTGTGTGTGTGAGAGAGAGAGAGGAGAGAAATTGAGAGGGGAGGGAATGAATTTCAGTTCAGGCAGGAGCGAGACGACTGAGCTGATATCAGTAGGCCTTGGCAATACCCAGGAACTTTGCCTCCGTCTCATAGATCAGCAGTCGCCATAACTTGACTACAAAAACCTCTGCCTCCTCCTCCAGCACCTTGAGAGAAAGCAAGAGAGACGGGGGAATGACAGCAACTATTGTGCTGAAGTGGGGAGAAAGGGGTTAACTACGTCCCCTCCCCCAGGGAATGACAGCAACTATTGTGGTGAAGTGGGGAGAAAGGGGTTAACTACGTCCCCTCCCCAGGGAATGACAGCAACTATTGTGGTGAAGTGGGGAGAAAGGGGTTAACTATGTCCCCTCCCCCAGGGAATGACAGCAACTATTGTGGTGAAGTGGGGAGAAAGGGGTTAACTATGTCCCCTCCCCCAGGGAATGACAGCAACTATTGTGGTGAAGTGGGGAGAAAGGGGTTAACTACGTACCAATGTGTCTGGCTCTGCATTAGTCCACAAGTAGCATGTTGAACCACACTCTAACACACACAGACTTCAACATCTGACTCACCATTGCTAGCTCCTCTAGTATGGTCTGGGCAGGGATATGAGTGGAGAGCTGGCAAAAAACACACACACACACACACACACACAATGAACAGGAGCAGTGAGAGAAAATGTCCAACAGAACCTTATTGCAGATGAACTCGGTGAGTGTTTCCTCCTCTTCACCAATGTACTCTACTATCTTCTTGTTGATCCACGGACCAATTCTTTTCTCCATCAGTGTCTAGAGGAACATTAGTATATACAATGACCAAAGCTTATACATTCACCACCATAATGATGAGGTGCAAAAGTGACACTTTAGGAGGAACTATATGTGACCCGCTACGGGAAAAGGGCCCATTTGACGCAAAATATCTCCGTTCCTGTTTCTAGGGACGACCTCGCTACCGCTGCGTGTAGCGTGAAAGCGAAGCGCGTTACGCGATTTGCGATTGCGTCATAGTACGGAGCGGGCTTTTAGCAGCAGGCTCGTACAAAAAATGTTGCGCGTCAAATGGGCCCTTTTCCCGTAGCAGGTCACATATACCAGAGGGTGTAGATATAACAACACCATGCTTTTTGAAATCTCATTTTGAAACTGTGCGTGAAATCGAAAAATCCTGGGGAAATCTTGGGGCCTGTGGTATATCCTGGGGAAATATTGGGGCCTGTGGTATATATATACTGATTAAACCTTGGAAAACTCTAAAATACACATCAGGTGCTGTCGGTCTAAATACAGGAGTCCACCCCTCACCTGATCGATGGCGTCCCACTTCAGCTCGTACTCAAACAGCTCCTCCTTGGTGGTAGGAATTCCCTTGACCAGAGTCTGGATCATCTTCTTCTTGTCGTCGGCAGGGATCTTCTTGTCGTCGCCGCTGTACTTGGCCGCCATCTCACTCACCTCTCTCTCCAATGCCCCTCTCCTCTCATCTCTCTGCTCCTTCTCAATCTGCTTAATGGACGCCAGCTTCTTCTTTGGGGCGTTGATTTCTCCCTCTTCGTCAGCACCCAGTACATTGGTGTCCATCTTTGTACGTTTCCCCAGCGGGGTACCGCTACTCCCTCCACCTCCCGTTACTCCACCGCCCACTTTACCCCATACTCCGAACGACATCTTTACTCCGGCCCGTGGGGAGTCTGTCTCCATGTCCTCTGGCTCTGTTACTCCGTCTGAGTGGCTGAACGTGATCCCGTCCTCCTCGGCCGCGTCTCGAGGGTGGCTCTTTAGGTCCACTGCTGGGGCTGATTGGACCTGGGACCACATATTATACACACTTCATTTTGTTTCCCACACATCCATTCATACACACACACACACACACTCACAAGCCTCAATTGCAAAGGAATCATCCTAAAACCCCATATGTATCAAACAAGAGAACCTCTTATAATTGAAGGATACCACCCTATCTCCTGACTGCGTGTTAATACCAACTTAACCTCATGACACCCCTGCACGAGAGTGCTCTTTATTTGGAGTTTCCAAGTACACATAAGCTCCATTGATCATAGTGTATTGTCGTAAGAGGTGGGATTGTGTCGGACCTTGATGGGAGGGTACGAAGGGATGGGGTTGAACCCTGCCTTTGCCAGAGGGATGTCGGTATCCATCTCCAGAACCTTCGGTATGTCGTCATCTTCCTCATCTTCGTCGTCCTCTCGCTGCGGAGAGGAGCTGCCCGTGGACCCCTCTCCGTCCTCAACCCCCTGATGGTGTATATGAGATGCAGCAAAGTCAGATGTGGTATACACCGTACGTATGTGTCAACAACAAGATCTCAGAGCAAAGGTAAACCAATGACGGCCAGGACCACTCTTTTCTTTCCAAGTGAAAAAAGAGCTTGCCTGGGTGTTGCCATTTGGAGTCTCCTGGCCCATTGTTCTAGGTGGGATTTGGACATTGCCTGCTATATAGCAGGGCAACTCAGCTGGTGGGGGTTCAAATCTCTAACACAGCTTACATCTTGTCTCTTGCTCTCCTTGACCTGTCTCTCCATGAGATCCAGTCTCAGAGCCTCGATCTCCTCCTTCTCCCTCTGCCTGTCCCTCTCGTCCTCCTCCCTCTCCAACTCCCTCTCCCTCCTCCGCCGCGCAAACTGACTGCCTCTGAACGAGGGGGGGCAGAGAGGTGAGGGGGGACGTGAAGAAGAGAATTGAATGTTGTTGTTACTTGTAGTATCGCTGGTCATCCTTTTCATCGTTGTAGTCTTCAAGGAACTCTGCCAAATCTTTGCCTTCTTTGTCCTTTGGGGGAAAAACAAGCAGCGTGTGCGTGTGTGTATGAGTGTGTGGTAATAGAAAGGATAGAGTTAATCTAAAAGGCCATTACCATTTCCTCTTTTCGCTGCTCCTCTTTCTCGTAGTCTTTGTCGTAATCCTTTGCCTTCCTCCTCTCACGGCTCTCCCACATTGTCAGTCGCTAAGAAAAAGCAAATAAACATCAAAATCAGAATAAAATACACAAGGTTTTTGAGAGACAAAATGTGTGATGCAAGGGCTTGAGTGCGTTTTTACGTTGTGATATAATTTCAGCTCAACCCAACAATAGAAGACCCGTTTGCACATTGCTGATCATGACACAAGCTCTAGTGCTAAATAACTAAAAACTTAGTCGAACCAACCGTTAAATTTGACACGAATAATGAAGCAGTAGAACATGGCCTCGCGTACAACGCAACACGCTCCACGTGCTTGTTTCAGTAACAAGAAATTAGATGCATGGAATCATGTGAGCCTCCACAGAGTCACGTGATTACCTCTTTGTATGCTTTCTCCCTGGTCCTCTGCTTCCTCTGGAGCTGTCTCGCCTCGTAGCCCTCCTCTTCCCGCAGACTCTCTTCCTTCTCCTTCTCTCTCCTGGCCGCCTCTCTCTCCTGCCTCTCTTTCGCCCTCGTCCGCGGACTTGGCGTGCGAGACCTTCTCTTCACCGGACTACGGGGCCTGGGGAGGGAGGACACACGCCATTATTGACACGTTTTGGAACCAATTATTGGTTGATGGTCAACGTTTACCTACTGTACCTACTGTACAGCAGGGGGCACATAATGCAAATCACACTGGTTACATCATCATGGTTGTAGCCATGGAGCATTTTGAGTACTTGCCACACTTTTTCGCATACAATACCATGCATGTATTACACACACTCTATACAACCATTATACTTGTGGAAAGGAGAGGGAGGGGAAGATAAATGGAGCCGTTCTGCTTTAGCTAAACCCCTGCGTCGTCATAGTAGCACACACTACAAACCGTTTGCAGGGGAGGAGAGCGTCCCCTGTCTTTACTCGGAGGAGGTGATCGCCCTCTCCCTCTGTCCTTGGTGATGGTGATGTTCTTTGACTCTCTCTCCCCCTTCTCGGAGGCCAGGGAGGAAGTGTCCCTCCCTCCGTCTTGCTTGCCTCGGCTTCAGTCTTCTTCTTCTCCCTCAACTTGTGTTTCTCCACCTCGTGGCGCTAGATACGAGGAGGCAATAATGACGGGAGACACTCACAACAACAAACAACAACAACCTGTATATACATGTGAAAAAAACAACAACAACGTGTGACAAAGAAAGAACTAGACAGTCGGTAAAGTTACAGTGTAAAAAATGGTTGTACTTGATATTCTTTGAAGGTGTGGTTACGTAGCCTCGGACATGTTACTATAGAAACACACCTACACACCAGGGCAGGAAGTCACGTGCTGTTGAGAGACGGCAGGTTAGCAGCGAGCAATAAAACAACAAGACAGACTACGCTGCTGGAACTCGTTCTTCATCTTTTCGTTGACCGCTGATATTGCCAGTCAGAAATTGCGGTGAAATCACGCCAATCAGTATATACCCACCACACATTTTTTTACTGAATACAGAAAAATTTACTTTCAGCCCATTAGAGAATATATGACAGTTAATAAATTGCTTTATGGCATGTAGAGAGCACATTGTCATTTTGTTGACATGGTAATAAAATGCGGTACAGTTAGTGTGTATGTCGTACTCTTAACAACAAAGAAATAATAATTATAATAGTATACTATGTAACAGCCAATACATTTGATCCATAGAGAATTTAACTATTTCACCGTAATACCCTTGGAAAATTGAAATACCCCCCGAAAATTTAAATTCCCCTGAAAATCGACCAATCAAATCAAGTGACTAGGAAATCAATGTGAAATACTTCATACAAGTTACAGCTCCAGAAACAAGTGTCGCGAAAGATCTTGTGAGCATGACTATAGCTAATCTATATAACACACTGATCACTATACACAGCACTATACTATTAACGTGTGATAGTGCAGTTTGGTGTGGTATTAGGGGATTAATAGTGATGGAATTTTTAAAAATAGTATTCGGCTTCGCCTCATACTATTTTGAAAAATTCCAGCAGGTATTTCAGTCAATTAGAAAACACCACGTGACTCGTTGGTACAACGTACACCTCGCTTCCGCCAGAAACTTTCATTTCATCCCTTTTGTCTACCAGTAGATTGGCGGGATAAACGGTGTTAACCTTCAAAATTACACACAGACGACCGTCTATTTTTTGCAAAACCTCCTCCTTTCTTCAAAATTACACACGGACAACCGCTTATTTTTTGCAAAACCTCTTCCTTCTTTCTTCAAAATTACACACAGACGACTGTCTATTTTTTTGCAAAACTTCTTTCTTCCCTCTCCCTATTTTGTTAAAACTTCGCTCCAATCCTCATTATACCGACTCATTGTCTTCCACACACATTAATCCCTTAATATTCACGTAGTCTCACAGCTTTCACTTTATCCACTTCTCTTTTCTCTCTTTTCTCACTTCCTCTACTCCCGCCCTCCTCTCACTGATCCCCTTTCCCCTCCCTTCTTTCCCCTCCCTTTAATAGTCCTCGTTCACCCCCCTCCTCCCCTAACTCTTCTCTTTCCGTTCACATCCTTTCTTCCTCCCCTCTCTCTTTCTACCGCCAACCTCCGCAACAACCCCGCCCGCCCAGCAGCCACATACAGTAAGGACACTCACCATGGAAGTATCACCCTCGTGTCTGGGTGAAGATGGTGTGTGAGACAGAGCTATGAGCAGGCGATGTGTGGGGGACAGTGATGCGGGGCAATACGAGGCTTTGTGGGGCTCAAAATGGCACACCCGGGCACAAGCACAACGCTCAACAACTGTTGTGTATGCACACACAGAGGTTTAAACCCATCACACATACATACACTAACTGCATACAACACAAGTTTACACCCAATGGAACACAGATACACAGGAGAATGACAACTTAGTACGCACTCTGATGCGAAATTTTGATAACGCTGCGTAGTAGCCGAATAAACCGTGTAGTGGAAAGATTGTTAAGGGAGATGACTTTAAACGATTTTCTGAAAAGTAGCAGTTTTTCGAGGGAACTATTTCTTATGGCCAGCCGTTGTACAGTTCCCACCCACTAATTGTGCTCTACACAGTAGTTATTCAAGATTCACAGGGTTTCGCCTTCCCCTTTATGCTATGCTAAGCTTCATAAGCACGCACAAAGACAAGTGGACTTTTCTAACACACAGAGACCAGCCAACGTACCTCCGAAGACAACCGGAACTTCTTGATTTCGTCGCTGACCAACGTCTTCATGTCTTCCTCCATATCCATATCATCCAGTGTGCACTAAATAGAACACGTACAACACGAGATCATGCTAGTAAGAGATGTGCATTTCAACTGTATTGCCAGAAACTTGAATATGGCGGTTTGGCAAAAAAACATTCATTTCTAGGGGCTATATACGAGGCAGCATTTTCCACCAAAACTGTGCCCCAAGATTGTCATAATTATATATCTTTCATGGCAGCCATTGTACTACGTAAGACTACAATGGATAAAGTAGTAAATGTGCACTAGGTACAACTAACGTTTGGGTCTATCTTTCCCTTTTGTTTTGCAATAGCAAAGAGCGCTTCCTTCACGTCTTGCTCCAGTTGAGCTGTGAGGAAACAGAGCCACAGTTGGACATGTGCACCCGCGAGACAGTGACCACATAGAGTTGGAAGAGAGGGAAAACTGTTATTTATACCATCTGCAGCCGCACGACTGGTACCATCCCAAAGAACCTCCACGTTCTCTCTCACTAGGGCCGTGATTGCCGCGATGATCTGATGGTCCGTTTCCTGGGTTCGGGAGAAAAGAACGGAGGGAGGAAAAGAAAGGAATGGAGGAACAGTGAGAGCGAAGGTCTAGTGTACTCTACTAACTTTTTGTGCGTCGTCGGTGACTTCCTTCAATACCTCAGTCCCCCTCTTCTCGTCCATCCCCTCCACTTCTTTCTCTATCTGCGCATGCAACCAGAAGAATCCCACATGAGAAAACGCGAGAGGTGTACAACTAACTGCTGCTTCGTCCACAGTCTCTTGATCTGCCTTTCGTTTCTTTATCATGACGTACTTCAAGAGATCAGTCCGTGTCTTGGAGTCCACCTTCACCACGAGGCTCTTGTCTCCCAACCTGAATTCATGGAGAATTCTCAAGGCTCTCAGGGTCGATTCCGGATCCCCATACTCACAGAACCCAAATCCTGCACAAGGGAGAGAGAGTGTGTGTGTGTGAGAGAGTAAAGTGTGAGAGATAAGTATACGAAGTTTAGATTCAGGCTCATAAGGACGAAGGCCTCGTTTTTCTTGTTCTTTGTTGGCAAAACTAGACATAATGTAAGGACCAGGTAGATAGATAATCAGGTCACCTTGTAGCTTTCCCGAAGCATCTTGCACCCTCTTCCATCCCTCTATTCGTGCCACATCTCTGCACACAGACAGACACACACTCATACTCACAGAGATAACAGTTGTACGTAGAGCTATGGAAACCTGACACTCCACACATTATGCATGTAATACTGTACCAGAAGGATTTGTCTGAGGAGGGTATCTGACGATTTCTCTGAAATGTTTCCCACGAAAACAGTTGTGGCTACTTTCATGGCACTCGGAGATATGACAGGTATCTGGATATACAGGCAGAGAGACAGTACTAAGGTTACTGATGCAGTACCAATACATGGGGAGGATGGGCCTCTACAAACATTATACAACGCTCCCCCTACATTGCTTACATGAACCCATCATACGTACATGTTGAAATTGCACTAGACTTAGGTTGTGTGGCTGCAGGATGTAAGATGGTTTTGCCGTGTATGTTTCTAGCTAGTATATACAAGTAGGATTGTACAAGCATACGTATGCCGGGGGTGACAGATACAGAAGTTGGTGTGCTGCTCACCCTAGCTTGAAGGTTAGCTCTGGCTGGTGAGAACTGTGGTGGAGCTGAAATGACTGGCTACAGAGATTGAAAGCAGCAGGCAACGTTATAATACCAGCTGAGGTATACGACATTAGGCGAGGTCATTGAAAACGGTAACGTACTTGTCTAGGCTGCATTGGTAGGAGCACTGCATATAGAGAGTGAGAGGGGGGATTGTAAGACGAACACACAGAAAGAGGCATACATACTCCGTGGCATGGGGGGCATGGGCAGTATTCCTGGCTGGCCCATTGCACCGGGATATCCCGGTCTGTAGGTGGGCGGACCAACTGTCATTTGATACATCCCAGCCGGAGGGGGCCCTCCTGAAGGAAGGTACATGGCGGCAGTCGGAGGCATGGCTCCGTGGTGGATCGGGTATCTCGGGGCACCAGCGGGTGGGCCGCCGGGGCCCCCGGGAAAGCCGCCAACGGGTTGGCCGGGAAACGCTCCGCCGGGCGCCTGAAAAGACATCTCCCGTGTTTGCTGTTCTGTCTCGTGGGTATGGGGGTTGAGTGGTCGAGAAAACGGCCCGTGCTGCGCGGCAACTCTCAATCTCACAGACACACTTCAGTCGCCATTTTGTGCGCGGTGTGCACGCGGATAAACATGCGCATGCGCAGTTCCCTTGCGCACACCGGCGGCGGGGCTCTGGCTAGGCTAGGCCGCCGGCTAGCTACACCCACACCCACATACTATTACAAGTTTACAGACCAAAAATGAAAAGCACTAAAGTGCAAACCCTCGGCGAACTGCGCATGCGCGGTACCACTAATTGATGGGCTGGGCTTTTCTTTTCTTTACTCGTTGTATCGCGCTAGTAGCTCGCGGAGAGTCTGGCACGGGCTAGCTACAGTAGTAGATTGCATGCGGGAGTCGATACATGCCCTTCGTTGTGACTTCTTGTGCCTTCAAGATACACAGAGCGCGCGGACGCAGTCGAGGTAAGCCTGTGCTAATTACCATATTGGCTTGTTCACTTGGTTTTCACGCCATAACTTTAGAACGCAGTAGTTTTACGAAAATCGCCTTTTTAAAAATCAACCCAGTGTAGCACTGAACCCGATCATATCGCTATTTACCTGATTTCGTGCGCGCGGTGGCAGAAAACGTGGTAACAGACAGACTGACAGACTGACAGACACACGTACTTACGGGACAACTACCGTAACCCTCGCTGCGCATGCGCGCCGAGGGTTAATAAGAGGTCATTAAAAATGGCAGTAGTTTGTGTGGTATCGGAGCATATCAAGTGGTGGGGGAGGTTGCCTGTGTCTGCCAGTGGAAGAGAGAGAGAGTGGTCTCAGACACGACTGCCAGGCAGTCCTTCTCTCCACATGAGAATGGAGTGATGTCCAGTGCTGGTCCCTGACACAGGGAGAGGGTCTGGAGTCTCGCCATCGTCGATGCATTCCAGATACTCACCTAAGAATTAGAGAGAGCAATCCTAGTTCATAAAATTCTCCTAGCACTTGCTCATGTAGTTATATACAAGTGTCAAACTGGACCTTGGCTGACTAAAAACGGCTTACAGTCCGAAACATCTTCATATTCACACTTCAACAATGAGAGAGCCTTTAGGATAGAGAACCTACTTTGCCTAGAATCCAAGCCTTCACTTTTCCACAGTCATTCACACATGCACAGGGAAAAAAACCGGACAGAAAACGAACGAAAAAAAGTTGGAAAGGGCCTGGTGTGACAGTGTGGGCTCACAGAGTTGTGTTCCTCCACTCCAAAGGCGGCCAGAATGCTGCTGCAGTCTAGGCCAGGTCTCTGGAAGAGCCTCGAGCGAGACAGGAGTCTGTGAGATGTCCCACCAACAAACTGGTGGATAGGTCGGCAAGACAACGGCTCGTCTCTAGGCACATTACACAACTGGCACAGCTATATCATGGGGAAAAGGAGAGGAGACATGTAAATAGTACGAAGGGAATGTGGCAGTACATAAGGGCTAAATTTAGAAACAGTTACCAAAAGCGGATTAAATTGTGCCTTTATGTGTAACTGTCACACATTCACTTTGTGGAACACGGGGATGGAAGGCAAGAGACAGGTATGCATATGCTCGTGTATAAGGGACTCCACAACTCACCACATGAGTGCTGTGAGGTGTGCCTGGAGCCCTCTTTGACGGTCTGAAGGAGGCCATGCAATGTCTGGTCGAAGGTTCAAATGAGAGACAAGTGCAGTTCCCTGGAGCCAACCAGTGTGAGAATTCAACAGTTACAGTGTACAGTGTACATATGCTACTATACTATAATTTCATGCCTATTGGCTACAAGCAGGAGAACTTGCTGCTTGGATCGAAGATGTTTTAACACTAGGTTTGGATATAATTTACAGGACTTGGGTCAAAGCATTGTTTTATGTATGAAGTTTGAGGTATGAAAGAAAGGACCTGGAATGTTGGAGAGAGGGTGAGGAAGGAAGGTTTGTTGGTGGTTGTCCTTTTGCCAGAAGACACAGCCATTCATACTTCCTGCTAGGAGCCCACTAGCACTACGGTAGGAGGAAGAGAGAGTGTGTGTGAGAGACGGATAAAGAGAGGAGTTGAGCCCTCACTTGAACGAGGAGAGAGAGGAGAGAGGAACGTAGGTGAGAGAGGTAACAGGAGCCCTGTCTCCTACGCTCTGGAGACTAGCCACACTGTCGGCCGTGTTCCTCAGGTCAAACACACTGATACTGCCGTGGTTCAGCCCCGCATACACGTAGTTCGGGTCATCCACATTCCACGCACATGCCCAGACTGGACTCGAAGTCCTGTATCTGTATAAGACACACGGAACTTATCACTCCACAGCATGTAGCACTCTATTCAAGCAAATATCCATGGAGAGGGTTTGCAAGGGATTGTGTCTTACGTGAGAACGTTAGAGTTGCTGTGTAGACTGGTGAGTCTGCACGACTTGTCCATGGAGGCTGTCAGAACCAGACCGTCACCTCGAGGACTGAACACCGCGTCGCGAATCACGCCCGTGTGAGCTGCGACGTACTCTCCATGGGCAAGATCAAAGGTGCTGTACTTCATGAGCCCACAGCCAGGCAGGATCTGGTGAGCTGAAGGTTTGGACACCACTAGCATGCCGAGGGAAGCGTCGTGGGCCAAAACTCGAGCACCTCCGTCAGGCGATACCGAGATGGTTTTGAACAACGCGTAGCGACCACTGTCGTCATTTTGGCCCTGCAACACGACCGGGACTGCAGCAGAACCAGATGCACAATCCGTGGATTGGACGCCCCGAGTTGTGAACTCCTCAAGCCTACATTGACACAACAGTGTAAAAGTATTGGTCTGCACTGACAGACTCACTGATGGCGGAGTGTTTTCAGCTGCTCCTTGAGTCTGTCACACTCGGCTCTTGCCAACTGGCACTGGAGCACCGCCTGGGCCTCTGCCTTCTGTGCAGCAATCCTCAGCACCTTCTCCTCGTCTCTCTCCTGCTGACACACACACACACAGTCACACGTATTATTTTTCAAGAATTTTGTGATTCATGGCTGACTCGAATGGCTCTGTCTCTTTCGCTGGTGTCCACCACTCTGATTGACTTGGAAAATATGGTCCTGATGTCTGTCTTTCTCGCCTTGGCATTGCACTGTGGACACTTTCCCTCTCCTCCCCGTCCCCTCACCCACTTCTCTATACAACTGAGCAGAACGTGAAACAGTCCAGGGTGAAAGATTCACAATAGAGAGAATGGAAGGAAAGCGAGAGGAAAGCGAGAGAGGGTTTATTCGCTCACTTCCAGCCAAAGAGGTGTCCACATTTGAGCGAAGCTATTCGATGGGCTCCAGAGTTGGACCATGGCTCGAAACAAATAGAGCAGGTCTGACCCTGTAACCAAAGAAACATTGTAAAATCCACCCACAGGATTGTACATGTGTATATTATCGGACCTCATCCTCATCCTCGGCATCGTTATCTACTTCCTGGCAGAGTTTCCTCTTTTTGAGTGGTCTGAATTCATCAATGGAGTCGTCTTTGTTTCTCGCTGCCTCGCTCTGGGCCAGTCTCTGCAGAGCCTCTTGTGCGAGGTTCGGCAGCTGGGGAGGAGGCGGGGGGAGGAGGGAGTTCGTCAGGGTCATCTGCACACCATGCCCCCTTCGTCTCTGAGTCGTTTGAGACACAACCACTGTCGGACTTCTGGTCGGACTAGTGGAAACTTGTCTCGAGGGCTGGGCGCTGGATTCTCCGTTTTCACCGCTGCCTGAGGCGACAGGCACGAGGTTCAAACTCACTCTGAGGTGTTCCCCATTGGCTCCGTCTGCAACGTTCCATGCCTCCACTGAGCTGGACACTGGAGCAGCATTGGGGGAGGCCCCTTCATGTACTTGGAAATTGGCACGGGGCGGTGAAATGACAGGCGGAAGGTCAACCTCGAACGGTTCCTGACTAATATTCGAGTTGCTGGTCGACTGCATGTGTGGAGAGGACCCTCCAACAAGGGGTGCGACGCTCTCTGTGGCTACTCCCAGCCTCTGCGCTACGTTCCCTTCCTCCATCGTCCCTCCGCTGCTCAACAACTGACCCATCGATGCATCATCATCGCGCCCAGGTTCTGCGCATGCTCAGTATCTCGGTTCAGCTGCTACAAGTATACAAGGTGAGAAACACCAGCTCTCGCAATGAGTTATGGACACAAAAGAGGTGACAGGGAAGTACAAGGAGCCACTCTGTCATCCACTAATCCCGTGGCTCTCGCGGAAGGTGACAGCAGAGGGAGCGAAGCACCAGATATCCTCAGCACTCCCAACGCCGTACCAGCGGCGCCTGCCACCACTCATCGAGACGTGGAGATGGAGGAGATGGCGGACGTCAAGTCCGGAGGAGCGGCCAGTATCAACGGAGACGGCGGGGAGAAGAGGGGCGTGGGGAAAAGAGATCCCGGACTCTTTCCGGCTACAGACTACAACCTGCTGGAAGCCGCTGTCGAGCTCAGCGACGACGGAGAGGCCTTGAACCGCTGGTCGAGAAACAGACTCCACGACTCGGGTAGGAACCTGGTTCTGCGGACGCTGGCCCACACTCTGGCCGCGTTCACGGGCGAGTTCGTGGGAACGTTTCTCCTAACGCTCTGCATCGTTTCTGCCGTAGCAGCGTCCGTCATTGCGAACGCACTCGCTGGGATATGGCAGGTGGCCGTCATATGTGGACTCGGAGTGGCCATCAGTATATACCTGAGTGCCCATATCTCTGATGCTCACCTCAATCCAGCCGTGACCATTGCCTTTGCCATCCTCCGATTTCGAGTCTTCTCCTGGAAGAAAGTCGTCGTGTACATCACAGCTCAGATGTTAGGTGGGTTCGTTGCTGGATCTGTTCTCTTCGGCACGTACCACAATGCAATTGTTGCATTTGAGGAAGAGCGTGGGATCGAACGAGGGGTGAACGGGAGCGAGCTCTCTGCCATGATATTCGGAGAGTATTTCCCCAACCCGGCACTGTTCCCCGGCAGTCCCGACATCGTTTCGCCCATTGGAGCACTCTTTACAGAGGCTTGGGCAACTGCGGTGTTGGTTTTTGTCATCTTTGCGTTCACAGATCCTCACAACACGACAGTGGGAAGCGGGAAACACAAAGTCCCCGTTCCGATCCTCATTGGAGCGACAGTCATGATACTCATCTCTCTCTACGGCCCTCTGACACAAGCCGGTCTCAACCCAGCTCGTGATTTCGGTCCACGGGTCTTTGCTGCCCTGGCAGGGTGGGGGGAGGTGGCTATTCCCGGTCCAAGGAAAGGATTCTGGGTGTATATCGTGGGCCCAGTGTGTGGGGGACTTGCAGGCGGAGCTCTATACGATCTCGTGGCAGCAAAGGCGATGCAGTTCAAGATGCGAATGAAGAAGTATTCTTCTAGACATACTAACTGCACACCCTAACACCAACATATGTTTGGTTGCCGCTCAAATATAGCAGGTTTAATTTGATTGCAGAAATTTTAAGCATACAGAACCAATCACAGATCATAAATACATTGTGTCAGACCAATGCCATCATACACTGGGTTATTTGAGTAATGCTATTGAGAAATGCTGAGTAACTGACTGCAAAAACACCACTCACACAAGATGCACAAGTGAATTGTACAAACGATGGGACACGAACGCACAAAGTGACAGAGTGTTTTTGAGTTTGTTGCTAGTCCTTTGCGTCTCCTATGCCGTCTGGATTGATTGCAAACATGGCCTCAGCCTCGGGCAGACACGGAGAGTCATAGATCTTGCATATTCTCGTCTCCCCACGACCTTTTCTCAGGTATAATCTGTGGAAACATCAGTGTTAAAATATCAACAGGAAATTGTGTGTACAGCTTCAAATATCACGAGTATAATAATTTATTATGACAGAAAGTTTTAGTACGTGTGAAATGAGCACTGCTGTCATAAAGTAGGGTTCTTGCCTGGTTGTGGATGCATGTGCAATGATATTTCCTCCGATTGGTTTCTTTGGGTCAGTAGCAAACATGGAGGCTCCGTCCACCTGAGCTACCACCTGGTTACTGATCATCACCGCCACACCAAACTGAACCAAAGAAAAGATGTACAAGAAAAAGTTTTACTGAACTGTAAAATTTATTCTCAATTGCTTCTCACTATCAGTTCTACAATGAGTGAAAATTCATATTATATACAGTGTAATGCAGACCTCATCGGCAAGTCTGAGAAGTGTCCTGAGGAACCTGCCCAGGTGCATCTGACGGGCACTCAGCTCTCCTCTGCCAGAGTAGTCTGTCCGATAGAGGGCAGTCGCACTGTCCACTATCAGGAGAGCATATCTGTCAGTGTGGGGTCCAGTAGAAAGTATCTACAGTTTATGCCGTGAAAACTCTATACTCGAGACCTTGATTCAGACATCATGGCGGCAGCTTGCAGGAGGAGCTGTGACTGGTGGTCTGTGTTGTAGGCACGGGCGTAGGCCACGTTGTCCAGGACGTCTGAACCCGACAGACCAAACCTGAGGGACACCAATGGAGGAACTAATCTCTCGTCCTGTTTCTTTCCCTCTCCCTCTCTCACCTCTCTGCCACAGCGAGGAGTCTCTCTGGACGAAAGGTTCCCTCGGAGTCAATGTACAGACACTTACCCTCTCCTCCTCCCATGTCGATCGGCAACTGTGCAACAAACATAGTCTCTCTCGTGTGTGTGTATATATACAAGTGTGTAGTCCTTTACCTGACAGGTGACGGCAAGGGTGTGGCAGAGCTGAGTCTTGCCGGTTCGAAACTCTCCAAACACCTCTGTAATAGAGCCTGTCTCCACACCACCTGTACATGGTGCACTCCTTATACACCTCGCCCTCTTTCTGAAATGCTCAAAACACACCTCCCAGAAGTTTATCAAATTCCTTGGAGCCGGTGGTGAGCTGGATGATTTCCGACCGTCTCTGGTGGAACTCTGTGGCCGTGGTGAACCCCATTGGTACCAGTTTGGCAGCCTCGCTCTGGATCTTGTCCACCTTTGCCTCGCTGATCCCCTTTATCAGGACCAGAGCTTTCTTTGGTGCGTAGGAAATTGACTCTACGGTGTGGTAGCCGGCCTCGCTCAGCTTCTTGACGTCGTTGGCGCTGATTCCATGGCTCTATAGCGCGATTTGAACAGTATGGTGGGCTTAGAGAGGTGCCTCGTGGGAATTGTTCTCACCTCTAGTTTGGAGACTGGTTGAGGCCCAACATGTTCGCCTTCTTCGACTTGCTGTAGCTGCTGCTGTTGTGGAGGAGCTGCCTGTACGGCCATGATAACACACACACAATCGATCTTTCCTTCGCTTTTCCGCGCCAAATTTTCTTATTGCGCATGCGCAGTGTACGCTACGTTTGCGCGCGCGCGCGTGAGAGCAGACGAGTTTTTGAGTGTCGACATGATGCATCGATGATGGAGAGAAGAAATTGACAGTGTACTTGAAGCTACAGGTCTCCAAAGCTTTTCTCAACCAGCAGAATGGCTTGTGCGTACACCCACGGAGTTGTTCCAGGGAGCAGCCGCGCCAACGGCGGTCATCCCGTCCCGCCCGCCCCTCGTGGCTTTCCTGGTCCTTCGCCGGCTCCCCCACCTTCCCAGGTAACGCAACAACCGTTTGTATATTCTGTGGCCTAGTTACACGCTGAACCTACTATTGATTGTATATGCGTTCGTCCTGTAGTGTTTCAGGCATGTTTTAGTGTTTGATTTCTTTCAGACACCAACTGGCCATCATTATGAGAGAGAGAGCTCGCCAGCCGCTCATACCTCTTTCTGTTCTTGCTGTCCACCGCCTCCTCAGTACCCCTGCTGTCCGCCTTCTCCCTGGCATCCCTCCTCACCCTCCACATCATCACACCCTCCCCAAATCCACCATCCCCACACCCACGAGTCCTCGCTGTATCAGAACAGTCCCCACCATCCCTCTCCTCACCATTCTCACACTTATCACCCTCCACCCCACTTCCCTCATTCCCCCGGTTCTCACCCCTCCACCTCACACCATTCTCACCATACTACACCTCACTACCCTTCATCCCATCCCCAGACTCCCTCATCACACATTCACCACTCCCACCCTCCCTCTTCTCCCCCTTCTCTCTACTCACACCATCACCACACCTCCGTCCACCATCCACCCTACATGGCCTCTCCCCTGCACCACTCCTGGCGAAACCCGTCCACGTTCCACCCACCCCAGCACGGAACAGAGACCTCACACTCGTCCGGGTGCTGCCCCAGTTCCAGCAGTCATGGTATTCCTACTCAGAATCCCAGGTCAGTTTGTCAGGTTAACCCCACACGAAGACAGATCATTCCTTCCTCTGCTGCCAATTCCTCCACCGTCCAAGAAAACACTGAAGAAGAGCCGGCATATGTGGCCGAAACCCCTCCCCCCGACTCCGCCCAATTTGAGAATGCAGAGCAAAACACAGCTCTCCCGTCACTTTCCGAAAGCATGCAGCGCAGAACTCCACCCATACACCGAGGTGTCGGGGTAAGTACTCCAACTCCGAAGGTTCACTCTGGAGTAACCCAAATAAGACAGGAGCAAGAGTTCAGAGTTACCATGCCAACTAACAACCAGTCTGTTGCACTGGCAACATGCTCCACCCCTCCGCACAACTCGCACACTGCAACACCTCGCAGCGAGTGTCTAGAGTTCAGTCCATACGACGGAGCGGCTGGCTTCTCAAGGATCAACTTCCAGCTGGCCACTCTGGCTCCGAGTGTGGCCGATGTCTTAGTTCCAGTTCACCGAGTACAGATTCCTGAGCCGGTTCTGCCCTCCAGACGTCAGTCGTCGCGAAGAACCTCTAGTGTCCAGACTAGATCATCCACATCTCTGTCGTCGTCCTTTGGTGCTCCCGAAAACCAGCTAATGTTCGAAGGGTCTTCCTCGTCATTACTGAATTATGCCAACGAGGACGAGCTCGAGATACCGATGGCCGACAGTGGCTTCAAGTCTTCGATACAGGGAGGAGGCATTTGTGGCAGGGAACACTCATCTGCCCTTCATCAAAGTGGGGAGACCCCTCTCATAAAGCCACTGATTTCCTTCTCCGGTGATGATAAAATTGGTCGGGAGGTGGTCCTCCTTGAGCAATGCAGTGCCAGTGGGAGCCGCTGGAGAATGGATTCGTCGCATTCCACATCCTCTCTCCCCTCTTTCTCCGTCTCCTGCGGTGGAAGGACACAACAGTCTATTCAGTATGAAGACAGTGACTCAGACCTCGTGACAAACGGTCGTGGGTTGAGGAGGAAGGGAAGGAGGCAGGGGGAGACCTTCTTTGACATAAAAGATGAAGAGATGAACGAAGAGGAGGGGGAGGAGGAGGAGGAAACGGAGGCGAGAGTACAGGCTTCAGTGTCTACGAGAATGACTCGGTCGCAGGCTGCGAAACTTGCCAGCGACTCCGAGATGTCGCATGACGAATCAGACCCCACCACGTCGGTGAGACGGCGGAGAAATAGACCGAGGAAGAGAGCTTCGCCTCCAGAGAAGAGCCGAGCCCGTGGTGGAGGTGCGACAGAGGAATCTGGATCAGAGAGTCAGGAGGACGCAGACGTGACCTTGATTGCTGAGTCAGACGACCAAGAAAAACAAGAAGAAGACGAGACTCACCTGAGGCGCGTGAGTCCAATAGCAAACAGGACCAGATCTCGTGTGACGACAACAGATTCCTCCCAGTCTGAGGGAGAAATGGCCCACGAGAGCCGCTCTCACACGAAACGTCGCAGCAGGAGGTCCCTCAAGACAACGACTACATTGGCAGAGAGTAGGGGGGAGAGGGAGAGAGGAAGAAAACGAGAAACGAGAAAGAGGGGGAGTGGGGGACCGGTGGTCATTGATACGTCTCAGTCGGAGAGCGAGTGCTCGGTTGCCATGGCAACAGACCCTGCCCCCATCCAGTCAAACGTTGGTCGGGTAACGAGGAAGAAGCGGGTTGGGAGAGGGGGAGGAAAACGGCTGCCAGAACCCTCTGAAACTGTGTGTGAGGCAACGGAAAAGATCAGTGTTTCAACAGACAATGTTGGGACCTCAAACTCTCAAGTACAGTTGCAGAGCGTGGAAAAAGAGGTGATGTCATCTTCGGGAACAATGATGTCGTCATCATCTGTTCCCCGGCAGTCGGGTGCCTCGGTGGCCGGCAGTGTTGGAGAAGGTCTGAGAGACTGGTACATCAGAATCGTTGGGAAGAACCTCATTGTTGTGGAGGGCATCAAGAAGTAAGGCACTCTCACCATGTCTGATTCTTTGTTTATTCTCTCTCTTGGCGAGTGAAGCAAGCAAGCCCTTAGTGGTTCAAAATGTGTATACATTATCCTTATGCGCCTAAACGTCTCGAACTAGCATTTACTTGCCAGTAATTCATTCTTAGTTTTCTACCTGTTGCACTAGTTTTATTGTATGACTCTTTCACCCCCTCCCTCTCTTAAAACAGTGATAACAAGAACCGTACATGGCACAGTGGTCCTATTGTGAAGAGGCTGTCTTCGCGACTCGTGGCCACCCGGAGTGGGACACTGTACCGTCTCGAAGGTCCCCTCAATCGCGAAGGTCTCGACAAACTGGACATCGGAGAACTGGCCGTCCCGTTTGAGGATGGGTTTCCCGAAAACTGGCTGTCTGTCATAAACCGATACTTGCTGCAGAAGATTTGGTTGAAGTGAGTTGAAGCCTTCTGAAATGATTCTTTTCCTAACTGGTGAAGCCCCTTCAATTATAACGCCTATGGGACAGAAGAAAGTGTCAATATCAGTGATGTGTCTTATTTCGGGGTGCAACTGTTATTGGGGAAAGAAAAGGTGTCCATTTCAGAGAGAGGTTCCACTGTAAAATGTCTCTTATGGTGAACTATTCCATCTCATTTGCTGTGTGGTGTGTTATGTGTTATAGAAAGGAGAATAGAGCTGGCTCGGTGGAGAAAGAGGAGATGGGAGAAGAGGAGGGAGTGAAGCTGGAAGAGGAGGTGGAGGATGGAGGGAAGATAGAGAAAGAGACAAGTATGGTGCCGGAAGAAGAAGAAGTGTCGGACAGGGAGAGGGAGAAAAAAGAGGAGGAAGAGGAGGAGGATAGCGATTTCCCAGTGGTCTTGAGGAAGAAGTCGGTCAGGAGAGGACGCATCCAGCTTCTGGATTAGTGAGTTTTCACTTTTTTTTCCCAGCTGTTTCTTAACCAACTCCCCTCTGCCCCTTCGGAAGACACTTTTGCAAATACACACAATCATGGGCATTTGAAAATTGCACAGGTAAAAAAACCAACCTTAGTAGAAACCGAATCTCCCATTATATACTGTACAAGGTGAAATGTTCATCCCATGGAAAACTTTTTCCCAAGACGTTTGCAATAGCACCAACAAAAATTTTTCTGCTGTGCATGTAGAGAAGGCTCACCTTGTATGTTAGTGTCACTACTGACTATCTACGCTACAGTGACAGTAGTGCAAGTGAGAGGAGTGAGGAGGGGGAGGGGAGGAGGGGGAGAGGGAAGAAGACAAGGAAGAAGGAGTCCAATCTGATACTGTCATCAACACCAGACATTCTAACTTTTAACCCATCTCTCACTGACAGCATTAACCCTTCTCTCACCGACAATATTAAACCCCTTGCCGAGAATCTTAACCCCTCTCTCACTGACGGCCTTAACCCCTCTCTTACTGACAATCTTAACCCCTCTCTCACTGAAAACATTAACCCTTCTCTCACTGAGGAGACTCAGTCTACCACGGACGATGAGCTGGTACGAGGGACTCGTCGACTGAGAGTCAAGGAAGAGGAGGGAGAAGGGGCGTGTCCTATGACCATGCCCGAGGCGACGCCCAACACCTCCGCCTCTTCATTCATCTCCTCTCTCAAGGTATACAGCAGAACTTGTGCTCTGTATACACCCAGTAAAAATTTTAACTAACTCTTGTGTATTTTGTACCCCAAGTGTTTTTACCTGTGAAATTTGCAGCTGAAACTGTAGCTGATATCAAAATTTTGTATTCATCCAGCGATCCTCGCGTGGTCGGACTCTAAAGCCAGCCAATTTCTCCAACTCCACCATCCAATACTCCTATGATATGAGGGGAAACTTCATCGGTCTCTCCGGGCCTGTGGTCGACCTTACTCTGGAGACCTCCGGCTACCTCATGAACGACAGTCTCTCCACGAGAAGACCGCGACAGGTGAAGAAGGAGACAGTGCCCGAGGACGGGGAGGAGGGAGAGGAGGGTGGTGAGTCGCGGGGGAAAGAGAGGAAAGGGGGTCGGAAGAATCAGAAGAAGACGGCGAAACGTTCCCGAGTGATTCCCGTCTCACTGTCGCGACGGAAAAACACGGTAATTATTCCTAGTGAGACGTCTGAAGGAGAGGGAGAGGGGGAGAAGGGTGAAGAGGAACAACTGGGTGAAGACACTGCTAAAAATACAACTGGCAGTGAGGAAGACAGAGATGGAGTGGTCGAGGCTGTAACAGTGGAGCATAGCAATCAAAATGACGATGGTAACGAACTATCAGAGAGCGAGCCTGTCAGAAATCAACCTCCTGAAGGAACTGATATCATCGTTAAGACGACTGAAAGAGAGAAGAAGAGGGAGGAGAAGAAGAAGGAAAGAGAGAAGAAGAGGGAGGAGAAGAAGAAGGAAAGAGAGAAGAAGAGGGAGGAGAAGAAGAAGGAAAGAGAGAAGAGAAGAGAAAAGGACAGTGAAGAGAGGGAGAGCGAGAGAGGAGGAGGAAGGGAAAGTGAGGGAGGAGGAGATTGGAGAAATGAGAAGGTTGTTGAAGACTGTTTAGTGAGTCCCGGGTCTCCGAGAAGCCTCCCCTTGTCGAGAGTCAAACTCCGCCACAAGGAGGCCAAGAAGAGGGTGTCGATCAGTAACAAGGTGATAGTGATGGGGGGTGGGGAGGGAGGGGGTGAGGAGGAGAGGAGGGAGAGAGCGGAGGGAGAAAGTTGCGAGTGGACCTCCAGCCATCGAAGGAAACTCTCCAGGTATTCTACAGTACATACATGCCTTTGTTTGTTAAAGAGCTAAGTGTAATGTAAGAGACTTACTGTGCAAGAAATTTAGCAATTAACACTTGTAAATTCGACCATAACTAAACTGCAACATTTTTCGTGTGCGACTTCTAAGAATTATCCCCTCTCCCAGGGTGGTTCACTCTGTCCCTGCAATAACTGACAATTTCTGGGAGGTTGTGTCAGAGAAGATGGCCACGGGGCACACGGCCGAAGAGTGCGGAAGTGAGTACTTCAGGATGAAGGGAGGGAAGAGGGGGAAGAGGGTTACTGCCCGGAGAGGGCAGAGGAAACAGCAAGAACCCGCTGAGAAAGGTCTGTGAGTTTGTTAGATGTGTAGTGATGTGTGCTACTAGCATGCATTGCGTAAGGTTGTGTAATGCTACATGCTGAGTATAGTGTCATGCCTCTCACTCCGTTTGTACTGCATTGTGAGCTCAATCTATTGTCTCGTTGTCCTCGACAAGCTGGCGAAAGCATGTGTCTAATAGTTGGGAGAAACACTTGACTTAAAGATCTCTCTCTCTCTCTCTCTCCCTTGTACAGTGCCTCCTCCAGCACTCACGGCAAAGGTGGGCACTATCAAGAGAAAACGGCAGGTGAGGGACATTCTGGATCACCTGGATCAAGGCCATAGTGACGACTGGTTTGGCTCCACCCCTTTCAAGAAATCCAAGTTCAGGAACAAGGTTCAGTCATAATGTACACAAACTAAAATGTGTATATTAAACCACTGAAATTTCACATGTGTGTGCTTATCAATGGGTTGCCATAATTGTTGTTTGTTTGTTTATGTGTTGTTGTTGTCAGGTTGTGGAGGTGGAGATCGAGGATGGGTCAGAGGACTCCGAGGCAGAAGAGGACAGGCTCCTCACTACACCAGTCGGGACTGCCAGGCAGAGGCTGGGGGTGACTGGGACGGCTGCTGTTGTCAACTCACACACTCCGACACTGTGTGAGTATGGCTCCACTCCTGACTACAGTGGAGGACAGACTCAGTGAGTGGTGGGTGGAGGGAGAGAGGAGAGAAAGAGGGGGCTCTTGTTTTGTAAAAAGTGTAACATTCATGAGTGTTTGTCTGGTATGCAAGGATGGGGACAGCATTGGCGGCGAACAATGAGGCAGGCCAAGGCGGGACCCGGGAGGAGGGGGCTAGGACAGGGGGAAGGGGAGCGAGGGGGCGGAGGGACGGTGAAGGAAGGAGGAGGGAGGGAGGACGGGGAAGGAGGGGACCCCCAGGGAGGACGCGGGGGTAAGGAGGGAGGAGGCCAGGACGGAGCGGGAAAAGCCACAAACAGCCAGTTGCTAAGGGGGGTACCGATGGTGTTGCATTAATTAAGAGGGTTTTGGACTCTGAAAACAGCCGTGAGTCAGGGTGTACATCAAGCGGTCAAGTATATCTGTATACTAGGACAACATGTGACTGATCATGTCATCTACAAGCAATCAGAAGAAGCCAAGAAGGAAAGGGCCCCAAAGAAACTCAGTTAGTCAATCTTCCCCCTCCCTTTGAACCTATTATTGATTGTAATAATTTGTATAGACTCATCAAGTTGTCAGCCAGTCCCCTTCCACTGCTTCTCTGGATAACCACTACACAGAGGGTGACATGTGACCGCCGCGTAAGCGAGCAGAGGCAGGTAGGGGGGGCAGTGGAGCCGCCCATGGCGCAGAACGCTTC